GTGTTTCTAGGTTCCAAACGAGTGGGATCAGGCAGTGCTGGCTTGTCTTTTCGTGCCAGGAACATTTCACTCACTATTATATCTTTTATGATTATCCATAAATAAACTTTGTGGAAAATGAAAGGATTTCATCCTTTAGTGGCTGAATACTACTTCATTTGCATATCTGCCATATTTCCTTCCTTCATTCACTAGCTGGCAGACAGCTTGACCACACTTCATGGCTAGTGTGAAAATAAGAAGTACAATAAACATGGAATTTGTATTTTTTTTCTACTCACTTCATTTCTTTTGGATGTCTGTCCAGTAGTGAGATAGCCAGATCACGTAGAAGTTGTACTTTCAGCTGACTTAGAGGGCTCTATCATGTATGCTGTCATTTCCATTCCTACCAACAATGTGTAAGGGCTCCACATCCTTTCCAACACTTACCATTTGTCTTTCATCCTTGCTAATTCAGTTATACCTTAAACATCATTTCTCCACTTTTTATTTCACTGGTCAGCTTAATTCTCCACTTGTTGCCTGTATGTCATACTTTAGTGTGAGTTTCTTAAGAGCTTGGACCCCATCATGTTAATTTATCTTTGTATCACCAAGAGCTAGAAAAACTCCTACCACTAACACCCATGTTCAAACATAGCTCTACATCCCATAGTGTGAGGTAAAAATAAAAGAATTTTATCAAGACTGATTTTTTTAGCATAATCACAATAGGAAAAGATAAATGATTACTTTGGATATAAATTTGAATTTATCAAATTATAGAATATGAAGAGCCACAGGAAAACGAATGCCATAGGAAAATAAATCTTTGATAGTATATATACTATTTGGCATATTCATTCTAGGTATGTGTTACAGTGATGTTAATAGGGCCATATTCCTATGTAGTTATTTATAGCCTTCTTTACTACTCAAGAAAAGAAATAATCACAACAAATTTAGCTTTTCAGGGTTCCCTTGATTTTTCTTAATGAACTATCCCTCAAAGCAAACTTTTTAAAAGCTTATTTTTAGCCAAATATTCTCTATAGAAGTCTATCCAGTGGGAGTGGGAAGCAGCGCAGCCTGATTCAGGGTGTTAGGACAGACGGTAAAAGTGAGGTGAGGCTTTAGAGGGCATTACTCTGATCCTGATACATACAGTGCATACAAGGGCCAAAGGGCTGGACAGGAAAAAAAGTCATTCTGTAACCCAAGTTAAATACAATGTGAGTGATGCAATGTTCAGCTTGAGTATGTCTTCACATGCTTTATTTTCCAATTGAAAGCAATAGAACCTTCTGGACATGGTAAAGCATTTTCTTTTCATCTAGTCCTATATATTTTTAGACATTTTAAAAATTATCACTGGTCACTTTCTAATTATATAAACATAAACCAATCCTTGAATTTCTTCAAGGTAGATAAAAATATAAGTTGTGATTAAGTTGATAATGCTAGCTCCAGAGGTCAGAAGATTCAAGAGTTTTTATAAGCTCAAAGAAAACTAGGGGAAAAAAATCACAAGTCTAAAGTTGTGAACACCTAATTGCTTCATGGTAAAAGTATAGATTTATTAAAATTCATGGAAGCAGCACAAGCAAGGTGCCTCTGGGTCTTTACTTAGAAGCTATCTTCAAGAAAAAACTGAAGTATGTAACTTTACTACATACATATAACATAAAATATTTCATTTATTTATGTGTTTTATTTAAATTTTTTCATACACTATATTTTGATCATATTTTTCTTCTCCCAACTCCTCCCTGATCCTCCTCTCCTTACCTATCCAACTTCAAGTTCTTTCTGTCTCTCAAAAGCAAGAAAAAATCAAATCAAACAAACAAAAGAACCCAATAAGACAAAAGAATAACTTAGAAAACAAAAAGTCCACAGAGAACAAAACTAAAACCAAAACATGGAGTCCGTTTATGTTGGCCAACTACTCCTGGGCCCGAGGATGCCTTGTGGTGTTGTTGATATGCCCAATGACATTCCATTGGAAAAGACTGATTTTCCCTTTCCTAGCAGGAATCACTTGCAAAAACCTTCTTGGTTAGTTATGGGACTCTGTGTCTACCCCAAACAGGATGACCAAGATAAAAATTTATATGATTTTTTTTCTATTATTAAAAATAGATTTTTTTTCATACAATATATTCTGATTACAGTTTTCTCTCCCCCAAGCCCTCTCAGTTCCTCCAGATCCATACCCTTTCTGTCTCTCGTGGGCATGTAAGGAATAAAAACAAAATAAGATAAAACAAAAACAAACACATTAGAATAAGACAAACAAACAAATAGAAAAAAAAGAGACAAAGAAAAAGCATGACGAACACATATAGACACAGACACACAAGTTCACATACACAGGAATGGCATAAAAACACAAACTAGAAGCCATAATATATATGCAAAGTACCTGTAAGGTTAAAAAGAAGAGAAAAGAAAAGAAAAAAGAAAAAGCTCCAACACAGCACTATGACACAAAGACCCTCCAAAGATGCCTTTGAGTTTGTTTTATGCTGGCTATTTACTGCTGGGGCCTATCCTTAAGAGTGGTTCATTTCTTCAGTGAGACTCCCTTGGAGAAAACTAAATTTTCATTTGCAAGTGCATATTAATTGAAGCAGGATTCTAAGTTAGGGATAAAAGCATGTATCCACTTTCCTGCTCATCTCAAGTCCCATCTGATCCAGACCTAGGTAGGCCCTGGGCAGGCTGCCTGAATCTCTTTGAGTTCGTATATATATCAGTGGTGCTGTGTTTAGAAATCCTTGCCTCCTTGGTGTCCTCCATCCCTTCTGGCTCTTATACTCTTTCTGCCAAAGGGGTCCCATGGGAACCCACAACCAGCCCAGACTATTGCCAAGGCTTTTGGTTGCTCTCCACAAATTGATAGCAAAGCCCCATTGCTGAAGACAACACCTATGCAACTCATTGAACAGGGAGAAGTAGAGCTGGTGGCTCCGCAGTTTTCACTGCTATGGCTAGTGTTCATGCTACTGAAGGTCCTCTGCAGGCTACCAAAGGAGAAGGGTAAACACTAACACAGCTACAAACCCATCAGTCTAGAGTGATAATCTATACGTAAGATAAGCTGGTACAATAGTGGCACAAAGTTTGTGGGAGCAATCAACCAAGATCTGATTTTATTTAAGGCTCGTGCTGTGAGACAGAACCCATACCTGACATTGCTTGGGTGGCTAGATAACCAAGAGATCTAGAGTAAAACCAAAGTTTCTACTAAAGGACCATAGTAGTAAAATGACTCCTAATGACATTCTGCTATATTCACAAATCAGTGCCTTGTTCAGCCATCATCAGAGAAGCTTACTTCTGCAGTAGATGGGAACAAATACAGAGACCCACAGCCAGGCAATCTGCAGAAAGTGAGAGATCTTGGAACATTAGGCCCTAAGTGGGATGTCTCCATCAAAATTCATATGATTTTTAAAAAGTTATGGTCTTACTATGTAACCCAGACTGGCCTGGAACTTGAAATATTCCTATTGCAGCCTCTCAAGTGCTAGCTTATAAGCAGGCCTCTATGCCTGGATGTAAAATTTTCTTAAGCAACAAAATGCAAACTGTTATTTAAATATGTTTTGTGACTTTTCCTGAGGAGATCTGAACCAATGTCTACTCACACGAAATAGGGTACCCAGAACAGGCCAAATAGACAATTCTATTGAAGTTCAATTTAGAGAAACATATTGGAGTTACTTACTTATTGGAATTTACTCAGTGACAGCTGCACCACCAAAAAGCTCATGCTAGCATAAGTGATAACTCTGAAATGCTTCAACTCCAGAGATCTGGGCTGGATTTGCATGCAGCTCATGGGGTCCCAGAACCTCTCCCTGGCAACTGTTTTCCTGACCATAACCTTGAAGAAGGGCTCTGTGATTTAGTTTCAGTTTTCTGGATTTACATTTGTTTACTTTCTAAGTCCCATGAACTTCACTCCTCCCTTCAGGAAGTTATGCTTCAATTTGAAGGAAATTGCTATGAGACAATTATAACAAAAACTGAAAAATCTTTACTTTCACAAAGATTTCTGTATTTTGTCAATTCAATAAGCACTAAAAACAGATTGTTAATTTTTTTGTATATTTAGATTTTCAATGGCCTTTTGTTATTACATCAAGAGCAAATTAATCAAAACCAATTATTTTTCAGATTTCCAGATGTTCTTCTGTAGTTATAATGTAGAAATGATTGTGATATGATAATTTATTTTGTATTTAGGCCATATTTTAAAGTAATGAATGTAAAATCACCAAAAGAAGATGTTTGTTATCTTAGCATGTTTAATGGCTGATGTGTTGTTATTATGTTCATTTGAAAGTAAAAAAAGCTAGAAGATAAAGAAAAAATCAGATGTCTTACACAAAATATTTTCATCTGTCTCATTTGACTGAGCAAAAGCTAGATGAAATAGCCTCTTACATAGCCAAGATGGTACTATGCCTTTTGGTTAAAAAAACAAAAAACTGTAAAACACTGGAGGAGACAGTCTGAGCAGAGCATAAGTTCTTCATAGGTATGAGGATGCCTACCTACTACCTATGGGGAATGGTCCTCAACAGTGAGTTCTTCCCACCTCATCTGTTCCCAGCCTAGCTGATTAGTCTTTGCTTATTCCTAGTCTGATGACTTGAACAACAGCAAAACACACTGCTTCATGCACACTTGTTCATTTTGTATTTAACAAATATGAGCTACAGTGATAAGCATTTTTCACAAGTATTTCATTAGAGATTGATTAAAAAGAATAAAAATTAAAACATAACCATCCTACTTTTGTGGAGTGTAGTATAGTTATGTAGTTACAGAATGAGGGCAGGGAATAAAAAAGAATACTAGTTAGCATACATATTGTGAGTGCACTCCAGGGCAGCCTTCTCTGCCCGGAGGACAAGAATGATGTAGACTGCTGCTCCTTGCCTCATGACTGTCGGTGAAGACTCCCATGTCTCTCCTCCCTAACCCAGCATCCTCTTTCCATACAGACGTTACCCTGAGTGTCGTTGCCTCAACTTCGGATCCTGGTTTTTGTTTTCCTTCCCAATTGCTGTTATCCTCTTACTCTTGTCCTGGATCTGGCTTCAGTGGCTTTTCTTGGGATTCAAGTAAGTAGACATTTTACTGTCACGTGATAAAGGTTGTCTGTGACCCTTGCTTTTAGCTCTATATCCGGTGCTCTTTCTCCCCTATGCTGCACACAGTGTGTCTCCACATTTTTCACACTTAAAACATTAAGATACATGAACATATTTTTAGGATAGGCTGGGATAATTTAAACAATGTTGGCATTGGCAGATCCTACTAAATACAGATCCAATCGGGTGCCCTTTGAATCTTAAACCAATGGCATAGTAACTGCTCAGAAAGGCATAAGGAACTGATTACATTGTGGTCCCAATCCAACTATCACAGTGAGAAGCCATGGATGGCCTCTACTTGTTTTAGGATGAACGTCCGTCCTTGGATTATCAAGTTAGTTTCAACTATTCACATGCAGAGTCTCCTGCTTCATGCTAGTTCCAAAGTTGGTAATACCTTCAAAATGTAAAGTAAAATAAAACTTGAGAAGATTCTCTGTGAGGAGCTAGTAAGTAGGAGAAGTAATGTGTCTTTTTTTGTTTTTGTTTTTTTGTTTTTTGTTTGCTTGTTTGTTTTTTTAGTTTTTGTTTGTTTGTTTGTTTGTTTGTTTGTTTTTTGAAACAGGGTTTCTCTGTGTAGCTTTGTTCCTTTCCTGGATCTCACTCTGTAGACCAGGCTGGCCTTGAATTCACAAAGATCTGCCTGCCTCTGCCAGGATTAAAGTCATGCGCCACCACAGCCCAGCAAAGTGAGGTATCTTTATCACTGTTCTACTGCTATGTAGAGACACAATGACCATGGCAACTCCTAAAAAAGAAAGCATTTAATTGGTTGCTTACTTACTGTTTCACAGGTTAGTCCATTATCAACATGGTAGGAAGTATGGCAGCATGCATGGTGCTAGAGAAGTAGCTGAGAGCTATGTCCTAATCTGTAGGCTGAGAGAGAGGGAGAGGGAGAGGGAGAGGGAGAGGGAGAGGGAGAGAGAGAGAGAGAGAGAGAGAGAGAGAGAGAGAGAGAGAGAGAGAGAGAGAGAGAGAGAGAGATTGGTATGGGTTTTTGAGAGACTGGTATGG